GGTGTACCAAACCGTCCGAAGAACGCTCAAGGAGGTCAGCCGGGGGGTTTAGTGGGCAGGGGTAGGCGACGGAGACGGAGGGAGAGAGGTAGTTGGGAACAGAAGAGAGAGGGAGGAGGGGGGGAGGACGGTGACACAGATGACTTAGCAGGCAATTCTTGCGTCTTCTTACGATCGGTTAAGGGCTATTAGGCCGGTTTGGCCCAGAGAAAGCCCAGGATTCAGCAAGACAAAAGGGAATTGTGCGGGATAATCCTGGTCTGGGCGGGGCTTTGACCCCCGGATACGCCAGCGCCGATGCTGAATTTCACCTCTAACGAGGTGCATGCTGAGGAGACGTTCGTAGAACGGTCAAGGGGACCGACCAGAAGACCAGTGTGAGGAGTTAGCTTTGGACGCCCGAAATGGGTACGGAAAAAACGGGCACACTGCCCAACAACAAATGTTGTCCCAAACCAACAGCGGCCGCTGTTGGGCTGGCGGCCTTGTCTCAAATGCACACAGGCCGCCGCGACACCGACAGCGAGTCCTGCTCAAAATGAACAGGAGCTGCTGTTGGGCATTGTACCTATTCTTTCCGTGCCCATGTCGCTCGTGCCGGTTAGCTTGGAAGAATGACGAAAACACGGACCACTACTAGAGGGTCACGTGCGAACCCTACCCCTACCCCGAAGGGTTGTTTTTTTCCACGGGGGAGGGGTGAAGGAGGAGGCAGGGAGTATTAGGGAATTGTGACGTTTGTTTTTCGTCGACAGCATAATACCCGCATGAAGTGTGGGAAAGGGTTGCGATATCTTCGCCTCGGAGGAGGAACATGTATTGGTACCGCCACTCATTGTCTCGTCTTCGCTTGTTTGGACCTCCTGGGAGGCCCTCGTCGCAACGGCGGGATTCGCATAGAAATTCTAGTCAGAACGCACTCTGGGAGAGGTCAGGTGGTTAGCGGGGCCGGTACGTTATTGTTCACCCATCGTCGACTTCATCCCTTTCATTGTGCAGTGAGGCTTACTTAAACCGGCCTCCCTGGCACCAGAGGTTGAACGATCGCAGTGCTGGAACACGCGAATTAATTTGGCATCAACTCGGCCGCCATCGGTGTAATATTTCACTTGGCACTTTGCCCCAGATCTCGGAGCTTTGAGGATGGGCCAGCAGGTTTCTGGCGCAGGTGCCAATGTGGACAGCACAACTCTCGCCCACCCCCTGCCAAGACCCCCACTCCCGACCTGATGAACCAGTGGGATCCGGCTGGGGTTGGGGGGTGGCTTTTTGGGCGTCTCGGGGGCCAAGAAGTCGCACCCCACCAGCCTGACCCCATGGATCGAAAGGTCGGGAGTGGGGGTCCTGGCTGGTGTGGGGTGCGGGGTTTGCTGTCCTAAGCCAGGGAGGACACCCGAAGACGTTGGGAGGGGCTCCGAGACATGCACGGCCGTTGCCAACGAACGCGATGCCCTCACCCGCCGATGAGGGTTGGCGGCAACACGCCCCTCCGTGCACCAGGGGAGAGTTCCGTGGGAGACTTTGTCCAAGATCATCCTCGGCAAGAGGGGCCCTGCAAATGCATCCATTGCCGTCCACCCGAAATTTTGGTTCGAAGGGGGGAAGTTTTTGACTCGAGGTTCGAGATTCGAACGTTTTCGTCGGTTCTCGGCCGTTCACCAGACTCGGGATGTCCTCCAGCAGCTGCGCCTCGCCGGCAGCGTTCTTTTGGTGCCCGGATCGCCCCGAACGGCGGCCAGAGACCAGAGTTACGACCCGAAACCCAGCGCAACCATCGGGCCGATGTTGCCAGTGGCTGCGCGAGGACTGGTGCTCCTGCACCAGGAAACTGCGCCGGTGCTTTGCCCCAACCATCCTGTGGTGTTGGGTCTCCCTTTCGAGTACGCAGCGCCCCGCATCTTACCTTCCTCCCGCTGCCTCTCTCCTCCTCCCAGCCTTGCCTCTGCCCTCCGCATGTCTCTGCGTCGGCACACTTCTCACACTTCTCGTGGCCCCATAGGGAGGTCCACAGTGGGCCCCAGCAGTAGGGTGCCCATTTCAGCACACCCCTCACGCGCTTCGTGGCCCCACAGGGAGCTCTGCGTAATGCCCCAGCGGGTGAATCTGCATGCGGCCGCCCCTTCCAATCCGGCGCACTCCTCACACGTGGCGTGGCCCCATAAGGAGCTCCACCGAAGGCCCCAGCGGGTGCGTCCACATGTGGCCGCCCTACCCATTTCGGCACACCCCTGTTCGTGCGCACCCGCTCTCCTTTTCTCCCTACCCTCGCTCCTTCGCTCTGATTCGCTCCTTGTCCTGTTCCGTGTCTCACTGATTGTTGGCAGTATCGTTCTCCGTCGCATTCTCATTCTCATGAGGCTCTTCTCTTCCTCCACCTCGCACTTTCGACCTCCTCGCGGCCTTCGCTTCCATCGCTTTTGGCATCATCTGTTTGTCCGGTGTGTGTGTGTTCTCTCTCTCTCTCTCTCGTTCTTTTTCTCTCTCGCTCCCTCTTGATTTTCCTCTATGTTCTTCCTCTCTCTCTCATCGCCGCTTCTCCTCCCACTCGGTCTGTCCTCTCCGTGTCTCCCGCGCCACCGTTTCCCTCATCGTGTTCCACCCCGTTCTTTCACCTCCATCTCCGAATGCCCCAAATCTCGGACCATTCGGCCGTGGTGTTTTTTGTCCGTCACGGCGGAGGTGTGGGTCCTCCCTCAAAAATGGGCCTGCGGACCCTGCCGCTGGCTCCCCCCTGCTTCTCAAGATGCTTCGCTGTCTCCGCCGCGCCGTCAGGTCCAGCGCATGTGGAAGACTAGGAGCACATGAGCGGTGTTCGATGGCCTGATGCGCTCGCTGTGCACTGCGCTGCCCCCCGCTGCGAGCTTTGTTTTTGTTATGCCTTCCCTCGGCTCCTCTCTACCATCACGGATCATCGAGAACGACCAGCAGCATGAAATCATACATAATTTTTGTTGGTGGTTTTCGAGTTTGTTTGCCGTCTTCGGGCCTCCCAGGGCCCTTCCCGCAACCTAAGCCTGTCAAGCAACTATTCGGGATCGGCTACTTCTCCTGGCGAAAGCCTTGGGCGCTGAGACCCGTTTTCAAGAGTACCTTCTTCTGTCGAGCCCTGCGAAGCCAAGTTACCCAGCGAGTCTGGAGGTCCGCGCGCAGTTCTTGGGTCGGCGCTGCACCCGCAGTGGCGTAGACCAGAAAACTCCCAGGACGCCTCGCGAATTTCCGAGAGGCATCCTCATCTTCCTCCTCAATTTCTCCTTCCCTCCCTCTCTCCCCCCCATCCTCCTCCTCCTCCTCCTCCTCCTCCTCCTCCTCCTCCTCCTCCTCCTCCTCCTCCTCCTCCTCCGGTGCTGTCCACGCAGGAAGGCAAGGACGCCCTTGCTGTCCTCGAAGGGCTCCAGCGCAAGGCGGCTGCGGATGCGGAGGCAGCCAAGCGGGCGGCCGAGGATGAGGACGTTCGCCCAGGGCCTCCTGGCGATCATGGTGCTGATGCTGGGAGTCAGGCAGAGGATGCCCCTGGGGATGGAGGTGAGCACCAGGCCGTCCCCATGGACGAGTCCGACTTCCTGGAGGCCGACTTCCAGGAGTCCCTCAAGCGTGCCATGGACGGCGAGGGGGACACGTCTGCAGCCGTGGCCAAGCTGCTCGCCGAGCACACGGCCAAGAAGGCGCGGCGAGGGTGACGGCCGAGTGCGGGTTGATGCAGACCCAGTGGCGACCAGTGCTCCTGTGCCAGCGGCGAGGGCGGGCTTCGGCATGGCCGACCTCGACGCGTTCGCAAGGGGCAACATGATCGACTTCGACTGGGAGCAGGCGACGGGGTTCGCAGTCCCAGTGCTGAGGGACGACCTCGTCTTCGACACGGAGCTGTTCCGCCAGTTCGACGGGGTCGGTCTGGACCCACGGCAGTGGCCTTGCCTGGGCCACGAAGCTTCGGACAGAGACGGACGGTCTCGCGGAGCTGCCCCCCCTCGGGTCGAGGACCCTCGAAGAGGGTCAGGGCCAGGGACATCGCCTTCTGGGTCGACCTCGACCCCGACAGCATCACTGTCTCTTATGTCGCGCGAGGTGGGACCCCTCGGTCGCAACGGGGCTGGGGGCCTTCCCCGCGAGTCCACATCTCCTACGGGTACCGCCTCGGGGTCGGCGGCTCCCGCGTCTTCGGGCACCACGTCGGGAGGAAGTACCAGGACGTCTGGAGGCGCACCTGTGGAGCGGAAAGGCCCGCGCCACCTCTCCTCCCCACCTGTTCATGGGCATGGTGAGTTGCAGGCTTGCGTCGCATCTGGAAGTGATGGGCCTTGTGTTCTCGGTGGAGGCCTGGGTGATTTCATGGAAGGATGTGGCGGTCTGCCTCCACCTGCGGTAGGGGCAGCGGAGTGTCAAGCTAGCCTCGACGGTGCCCAAGGAGACTTGCCCTCTGAGCGGAAAGGGCTACACCATCTCTCGTCCCCACCTGGCGATGGACGCAAGGGAAAACTATGTCAGGACAGCGTGGCTCGAGGAGTCGGCCACTCGGTCTCGATCGTCAGCGATCTGATCATTTTTGGAGTGAATGCGAACACGTGGGACTCGTTCACTAATGTGGTTGACTGGTGTAGGGACCAAGAAGCGAACCTCTTCGGGGTGGAGTCGGCTTCAGGCGAACCAGTCAAGCCGCATGTGATCTGCGTACAAGAGACTCGGCTGAAGGAGAAGGGTAAGTTGGACTCCGCCTATGGCTGGGGTGATCGCCGCTCCTTCGCGTTTTCTCTAGGACCAGCAGCGTCTACAGGGCCAGGTCCGACGCAGTCCTCGGCAGGAGTAGGTTTGGGAGTGGCCAGCTCTCTGGCGTCTTCTAGTGTGCCAAGGCCACCCGAGTTGGAACCTTTCAAGTCGCGAGTGGCAAGCAGGCACGTCAACGTAGGACTTCCAGGCGGGTTGATGGTCTTCTCGGTCTACCTCTACACCAGCATTGGAGTCGCAGGGGACAATGTTGAGGTATTGAACACTCTCGGAGAGTACAT